TATAAACTATATGCAGTTTAACTAGGTAGAAATATTTAAAAATACATTCCTATATTTTCATAAAAATTCTTGTTCATTCAAACAATATATTTATATAAATTTCTACTATAAATGATAGAGAGCAGTTACATATTAGCTATACTGAGTAGAAATTTATAAAAATACTTTTCTATATGCCTATATAAAAATATATTTTTTTATAGGCAGCTCATCAATGTTGATCGCAAGCTTACTTAAAATGTCTATGGAATGTCTAAATGATTAATTTGAATAACTTAAAGCGATCAGTGTCAATTCTTGTAAAAAGCAGAAACCGGAATATTGAATAAAACAATCTGCTTTTATTCTTCAAAAATCATCTTGTCAAATTAACCTCGAAAATTACTTTAAATACGCTGCTTTTTTAGGTTTATGGGGAGCATAAACATTTTTATAGTACTCCGATATTTTATGGCAAATAATCTTTAACGTTTGTGTATGTTTTAGCTGAAGAGTAGCCAAACTCAATCATGCTCGTGTCGATATTGAGTTCGGAGCTTAAGATCTTTAATATTTATCATATATGAATATGTAGAATGTCTTATATAAATATTTGGAGAGCTATTTAAGTGATACAACAGTGTAGTAGAAGGTAATATTATAATATCTCTTTTATGGTACATGTTCTAAATTGAATCGGATAGACTCAAGAAAAATTTGGTCAACTTCCAGAGATCTAATTTCGTCAAACATCTCTCCATGCCAATTTACTCTTTTGACTTCAAAAGCGAGTATTAGCACGACACGCTCTCATCACTAACAAGCAAGAATTGATAGGACTCTCAGGCAGTCCCAAGCTGTGTGTTGTTCGTGCTTTGGTGTTGATGCGGCTGAGCACTCAGTTAATGTGACATGCGACTCAGAACGGAACACAAATCTGCAATCGCTGCCGATTGTCTGTTTGGAAAGATGCAGAGCAGTTTTTTTTCTCTTTTTTGGCACAGGCACAGCCCCTGGTAACCCGAGCCGTTGCCCAGAACCGGAGCTCGCACCCGACTGCTACCACAGAAGTTAAATGCATTTTGATTTCACCCCCGAGCAAAAAGAATAGAGGCAAAAAATCAGATGAAACGACCTTTTTTGTGTGTGTGTGAGTGAGGTTTTGTGTGTGTGTGTGTTGGGCTGCCCTCTGATTGATTGCCATCAAAAAACGAGAGAAAAAATCCGCTTTTGGCATAACGGCAAATGCGATTTGATTGCTGTTGTGTACTTGGGCCCTGCACAATGACAATAACTATTAATATATGTTTTCGACAATCCCTAATCCGGCGAAACAACTTTTATGCGCAATTGCATCATCGGTTTCAGCCCCAGAAAATTGCAACGCGAAATGGGATAAAAAAATGAAAGTTTTTCTTTCCTTTTTCATTTTTTTTCCTGGTAGTTTGAGTAATTTTGGGTTATCGTTCCGGCATTTGATACGTCTGCTTCACCGTCCATTTTTGACAGCTGTCGCTCGTCTGCATTTTCACCTTAATTAAGTGATATTAATCGTTCTGAGAGAGAAAAAAAAACCGAATTTGATCCCTAACAACAATTTTTCAACACTTTCTCTGAAAAGGGGGCGCTAACATATTAGCGGGTGGGCGTTGGGCGGTGGGCGTTGACCTTAATCCGTTAGCTGACAGCCAGCCAGCAGCCGGCCGAAAAAAAGGAAAAGCAACAGTCATTTTGTGGGCATTAAAAGCTTTTCACAATTTCACTTGCCTTGGCGTAGGCCCCGTTTGAGTGGTTGGGCCACACGCATAATTTTCATTTAGTGCCCCTTTTGTGTACCCTTTTATTATGAGTATTTTCCCTTCTCTCTCTTTCTCTCTCTCTCTCTCTCTCTCTCTCTCTCTCTCTCTCTCTCTCTGTCTCTCTCTCTCTCGGGTGCTGCTGCTATGCGACCCTTACCAATATTGTTAATGGAGCCGATTGTAATGGCCCAACTGGGTATGTGGCTTTCGGGTCAGTGAGTGGGCGGCCATATGGGCGCATATGAAGGTGTTTTTATCTAAGCCTAGCCAGGCCATAAATTTAATAGCTAGTGCACTGTCATATAGTACTCTGTGCTTTGACCCAATAACCCTTGCACTTACATTAGTAATAGAAAATTTAAAATACACATAAAGTGGGACTTTAGAGAAGAATCTTAAAGTTTGACATCTTAAATAATGCGAGCAAGAGTTTTTATAAAAGACAAATTTTATCGAGTTGATGGATCATCCGATTTAGTAATTTATCGAATTAAATGGATCATCGGACTTTTTTATCCTTGAAATAAAACGTTAGCGATACATAATAAAAATTTAATACAATTTTTTTTGTGACATTTAAAAAAATTTTGTTTTTTCAATATTTTATTTTATATTTTTTTTAACGAATTTGGAAATAATTTTATATGCTTCGTATCTAAATCATAAATTTACCGACTTAAGCTTCACTTTAAAAGCAAAAACTTCGCCACATCTTCAATTATTCCTTTCTGTCAAATTTTCATCTTCTAAAACACATAAAACATATAAATTTTCAAGTAATTTCAGCTCTTAACCTTGGCCACAAGCCCTTGACTGAATTGACTGAAAAGGCCTGTCTCAGCCACTCGCTTAACCTTCAAGCTGAGTCCTAGACAACATCTCTGCTCCTTAAGCAAGCAAACAATAAAGCATTAGGACTAAGCTCTCTCACTCTGTTTCTCGGCTCGGTTCGTAATTTTAGTGCCCCATTTGTCTGGCTGAGCTCTTAACATTAAGTACAGAGCTCTTGAGCGCTAAGCGTCCCGCAGGAACCGAAACCCGTTCTCGAACCCTTGCCTGACCTCTCACACATATGCGTATCCTTTAAGACGACACGACCCTTAAGTCGTATCACCAGAGCAGACCTTCAGCCATGTCCCGTCGTGTGCTCTAAATACACACCCATAATTACGAGCTCATCATATCGTGCGCATAGTTACGCTTGATCGTTTTTAAATTGCGAGCAACGCACTTCCGCCCAGAAACAGAAGCCGCCCCGAGGCGGATTCAATGGGCGATGGCCCTGTGTGTCGGCACTTCAAGAAGTTGACATAATTATGCCAGCAGCAAGACACCATCGGGACGTTTATCGTTGATTGTTCGGGGTGCAGCCCGAAGGAGTCAGGGCAACCCTTAAGTCTATCGGATGCAGGCGGCAGAATCTATATCTTGCCACTTGGGGTGCCAATAGTAATGAACATTCCATTGCGACAGTTGTTACTTTTGTTGCTCAAGGAAATGGGCGGGACACGCCCAAAAAAAAAATTTGCATAGCTGTCAAATGGAACTACTCAAATTGCGCTCGTCAAAAAAAAAGGTCATTTGAGCAAAGCGCAATCTGGAAAATCATTAGGTGCATTTTCCAATTGATTTCACGCGCTAACCACAAGAAAAAGCAACAACAAAAAAAGAAAAAAAAATAAAATTATACCAAAAAGAAAACAAAGCAACTCTCAACCAAAATCAATAAGCAGCAAAAGGCAACAAAACAAACCGAGAGAAGAGGCAACCGCAACACGAGCACGAGACACATTGAGATTGCACAGAGCCAGCCATGTAATGCCCATGCATACCAAGCCCGGACCCTAGCCGACCAGACCCCAACAGAGCAGACAATTGTTTCATTGTGACCAGCCTGTCACGTAGCTGCAGGGAAAGGCAGTTGGCTGGCTGCGTTTGTCGTCCGTTGTCTCCTGTCTCTTGTCTCCTGTCGCATTGTTGCAAAATTGATGAGGCGCAATGGATTTGGTATGCCCGTGCCTCAGCTGAGACCCGTCGATGATGCCATCCCAGTTATCCCAGCCATSCAGTCAGTCAGCCATCCCTAGCCGATTGCCAA